AAAAAAAAAAAAGCCAGGTTGATTTTAAAATTTGGTCTTCAAATAAATAACTTAAGTATGGTTTGAGTTTTGCCAAATAAAAACAGTTGGACAGGATATCTTTTCATCTTTCAGAGTTTAACAAGTTGACTCCAATAGAGTGTTTGGATCTTTCAAATGCACCCTCTACTGCCATTTCTATGAAAATCTCATTTTTAAGAAATGATTGTTCAAATCTGGTTAATATTTTAAGTAGCATTCTTACTTATCATAATAGGTTATCATAATGGATGGTTCTTATACTTAGAAAAAATCTTAGAATTTTTTTTGGCTAAAGACACTTTCTATGTGAAAATGTTTTTAAATTTAGCTTTGCTTGTTACTGCATTAATTCAAGAGTTTTGGTTATGATGTGGCTTTACCCTTATTTGAGTTTTGTTGTTTGTCTTTTTGTTGGTCCAGGTGTTGTATGAACTTCCCACAAACACACAGTGGTGCTTTGATATTCAGTGGTGTCCCCGAAATCCTGCCGTCTTATCTGCTGCTTCCTTTGATGGTCGTATCAGTGTTTATTCTATCATGGGAGGGAGTGCAGATGGTTTAAGGCAGAAACAAGTCGACAAGGTACTAGGAAGTGGTAATTTTTTTTTGTAACACCTGAAAAAAAATTGCATTGTGTAATTATACTGAGAATGACTTTACTGATCAATAGTGCTGATTAATTGGATAATTGTGACTTAAAAGTTTCTTGGATGTGACTGGAATACAAGGAACATAGTTTGTGCACATGACCTGTTCTCACTGTTTTTTAGCTTTCATCATCTTTTGGGAATCTTGATCCCTTTGGCACAGGACAGCCGCTGCCTCCACTACAGATTCCCCAGCAGGCCACACCACGCAGTCCAGGGCTGCCTCTGAAGAAGCCACCTAAGTGGATTCGAAGGCCTGTTGGTGCTTCCTTCTCGGTAGGATTTGTTGTATGGTCGGTCCATGTGCACAAAGGACTTTTTGCTGGGGACACTCCACTTCCCTTACCACTCTTTCTGAAACCTAACCATTCAGCTGACTAGCTTCTTTCTTCTCCATTTTATTATAAAATTGTACATGTGCAAGGTTTTAAAAAATCCTACTGTCCACAAGAGCATCTGAGCCCAGTGGATCAAGACCAGCCTGGGCAACATGGCAAGAACTCGTTTCTACACTAGTACATAAGCAATTTTAGAACAGACGTTTCATTCACAGGTGTGTTCCACGGCCTGGAACGGAGCCTAGGAATGGAGGTTCTCTTGGTGCATTTGCCACTGGGCTGGGGAGTGAGCATCTTTCTCCCCCATTGCCCCACCTCACACACTGGTATTGGAGTCTCTGAAAAGGGTAAATAACACACCTTGCTTGGTCCAGTGAGTTTTGAACCGAGTAAGAGAGATGGAGAATCAGTGCTGGCTCTGTTCCCACCAGCAGCTGAGTGGAGGCTGCAGCCAATCGTGGAACCATGGTGGGCCTTCTGTCAGCTAGAGTGACCAGACTGGATCTGTGAGAGCTGGTCCTGGTCTGTCCTGTTTGTCCCCAGCATTCAACTCTGCACACTCTTCTTTTAACTCCACCCCAGTATTAGGCAGCCTTACCAGCCTAGTTATAGGCAGGTCTAGGTACAATGAGGCTCTCCATGGAGGAGCAGGAGACTTATCTCCTGGACTAGAGATCTGAGTAGGAAGAAAGATGCAGAAAGAAGCCCAGGGTGGATGAAGCATGCTGTACTTCTTCCCTGGAAACTGGAGTAATTTAACAGTCCTATCCCAGGAGATCATGAGGGCAGAGAGGTGCTGAGAGTGTCTGCTCTTCCCTCATGTACAGTGAAATGAGCATGCCCTCCCTGCGTGGACTTGTGAGAGGTGACATATCAGTGTCCTCTTCCAGTATCTTTGGGTTACCAGTATTAGAAATTTTAGTTATTTTTGAGATTTTCTTCACAAATGTAAATATTTTGCCTCCTGAACATCCATGTTTTTTTTTGGTTTTTTTTGAGTTGGGGGTCTCATTCCATTGCCCAGGCTGGAGTGCAGTGACACGATCTCAGCTACCGCAGCCTCAACCTGTTGAGCTCAGGTGATCCTTCTGCCTCAGCTTCCTAAGTAGCTGGAACTGAAGACGCACACCACCACACTCGGCTAATTTTTAGACTTTTTTTTTTGTACAAAGTTTTACTTTGTTGCCCAGGCTGGTCTCAAATTCCTGGACTGAAACAGTCTACTTGCCTTGACTTCTCAAAATGCTGGGATTACGGATGTGAGCCACCACAACTGGCCGACAAATAGACACAAGATCTTGCTGTGTTGCTCAAGCTGAGCTGACTTCTTTTTTTTTTTTTGGAGTCGAAGTCTCACTCTGTCACCCAGGTTGGAGTGCAGTGGCATGCTCACAGCCACACCAGTGTCATCCTGCTGGGCTCTGGTGATTCTTCTGCCTCAGCCTTCCAATTAGCTGGAGCTATAGGTACGAGCTACCATGCCCGGCTAATTTGCTATTTATTGTAGGGACAAGGTCTCACCAAGTTGTCCAGGTTGGTCTTGAACCCACGGGCTCAAGCAATCCGCTTGCCTTGGCCTCCCAAAGTGCTGGGATTACAGACTGAACTACTGAGCCTGGCCCCAACCTCAATATTTTAAAACAACTTTGTTTTTTGTTTTTTGGGTTTTTTTGAATCAGAAACTCACTCTGTCACCCAGACTAGAGTGCAGTGGTATGCTCACGGCCACCACAGCCTTACCCTGATGGTCTCAGGTGATCCTTCCACCTCAGTCTTCTAAGAAGTTGGAACTATAGGTGCATGACACCACCCCCAGCTAATTTTTTAATTTATTGTAGAAACGAGGTCTCACCATGTTGCCCAGGCTGTTCTCAAACCCCTGGATTCAGGCAGTCCTCCCAACTGCCTCCCCATGTGTTGGGATTACAGCTGTGATCCACCACATCCAGGAACATTGTTGTTTTTTACATTGCTCAATTTTCAAAAAATATTTATGTTGTGTTCAGTGGCAGTATTTTTCATTGCCTTATTCTGGCCAACTTAAAAAACTGAGGATTGACAAATAGCATTTACATCATTATGATCATGTACTATTACAGTATTAATATTATATAGAACCAAGTAAACAAACCTATACATCTTGTGAAACCCAGCATCTAGCCAGGCATGGTGGCTCACGCTTGTAGTTCCAGCCACTTGGAAGGCTGAGGGGGAAGGATCACCTGAGCCCAGGAGGTTGAGGCTGCTGTAGATTCCAACTTAAAAAAAAAAAAAAAGAATATTTCAGACCTGTATGTCATTTATACATTTCACTGGATAGTTTAGCTATTAAAACTACCCACCATAAAAAAAAAAAAAAAAAAAAAAAAGAATAAAGCAGACACAGAGCCTGCCTTGAAACTTAGAGCCTTGAACAGAAGGTGTGGCAAAAACATACAGCTAGTAGTTGAGTCAAAAGAGATACATAGTGTGCTGTGAGCCTATGGGGGAAAGACATTTGCCAAGGCTTTGGAGGAGGAGGAGAAGTGGTGAGTGTGTGAAAGGTAGTAAAAACAAATGACCAAGGAATTATGGGGGTAAGGTATGTTTCACTGGGAAGATGGGTTGTGAAGAAAAGAACAAGAGTTGAAGGGCTCAGATTGTGTATCAAGTAGAGCTGTCCACTAACTTCACCCAGACTGGTACGTGTTCAGGTCACGTTTCTCCATCATGAGGCTCTCACAAGCACTTCTTTGACCATGTCCTTCTGGTTAAAGTTGATTTGTCCATTTATTCTTTTACAGTTTGGCGGCAAACTGGTTACATTTGAGAATATCAGGATACAGCCTCTGCAGGGGGCTGAGCAGCAGCAGCAGTACCATGTGTTCGTTAGTCAGGTTGTAACAGAAAAGGAGTTCCTGCGCCGTTCAGACCAACTGCAGCAGGTGGTGCAGTCGCAAGGGTTCATCAGCTATTGCCAGAAGAAGATCGATGCTTCTCAGACTGAGTTTGAGAAAAACGTGTGGTCTTTTTTGAAGGTAAAGTTGGTATTTAAAACCATTTTATTTCATTATCTGCAAATTTAAATGTTTTCATTATATTCTAAATCTGTTTTCCTATTAAAGAAGCAATTGAGAAAATGTGATTTTTAGGAATTCATGATGAAAGGAAGAAACCTTATAAAGAACACAGCCTGCCGGGCACAGTGGCTCACACCTGTAATTACTTTGGGAGGCTGAGGCGAGAGGATTGCCTGAGTCCAGGGGTCTGAACCCAGCCTGCGCAACTTGGCAAGACGTTGTCTCTACAGTAAATCAAAAAATTAGCTGGATGAGGTGTCGTGTGCCTGAGGTTCCAGTTACTTGGTAGGCCAAGACAGAACTATATCGCCTGATCCCAGCAGGTCAAGGTTGTGGTGGCTGTGAGCATGCCACTTCACTCCAGCCTGGGTGACAGAGTGAGATTCCTACTCAAAAAAAAAAGAAGAAGAAGAACACACAGCCTAACTTCTTATGTCAAGAGTTCTTCTCTCCTTTGAAAAGCCTATGAAATGCTTTTTTTGTTTTGTTTTGAGTCGGAGTCTAACTCTGTCCTCCAGGCTGGAGTGAAGTGGCATGCTCATGGCCACCATGGCCTCAACCTGCTGGGCTCAGGCGATCCTTTCACCTCAGCCTTACAAGTAACTGGAACTCCAGGCATGCACCACCATGCCTGGCTAATTTTTTGGTTTATTGTAGGCTGATTGCAAACCAGCGGGCTCAGGCAATTTTCTCACCTCGGCCTTCCAAAGTACTGGGATTATAGGCATGAGCCACTGCACCTGGCCTGAAATGCTTTTTTAATAAGTAAAAATAATATAATAGTGTATTTAGCAGAAAAGATATTACATTAAGCATAACTATTTTAAAATTAGAACATAGAGTTTACCATATAAAAACCATAGATATTTAATTTCTATAGTGGATTCATTAAGAAAACTTGCAAAGACTAAGTGGGGTAGGGGAGAGAGGCTAGAGGCATTGCTCAGCCTGTCTTCAAGAGGAGCTTGAGGGAGATCATCCCTTTTACTGAGTTGTGTGTTTTTGTTTTGGGGAGTTTTTTTGAGATGGAATCTTATTCTGTTGCCCAGGCTGGAGTGCAGTGGCACAGTCGTAACACTTGCTGGGCTCAGGCGATTCATCCATCTCAGTCTTCCATGTAACTGGAACTACAGGCATGTACCACCACATCCAGCTAATTTTTTTTTTTTAATTTACCATAGAGACAAGGTTTCGCCAAGTTGCCCAGGCTGGTCTCAAATCCCTGGACTCAGGCAATCCTCTAGACTTGGCCTCCCAAAGTGCTAGGTTTATAAGTGTGAGCCACTACCCCCAGTAAAAAAAATAGCTGATTTTAAAAAGTATATTCAGCCAGGCTCGGTGGCTCAGCCTGTAGTCCTGCGCCTTTGGGAGGCTGAGGTGAGTGGATTGCCCAAGCCCAGCAGGTCGAGGCTGCGGTGACTGGTAGCGGCCACTGCACTCCAGTCTGGGCAACAGAGTGAGACTCCAACTCAAAAAATAAAAAATAAAAAAAAAAAAAATAAAAAGTATATTCTTTGGGTTTTTTCTAATAGTGAATCTTTAGGATGATAATAGTAGGCTTTAGATATTTTTTAACAATTCTCCTTGGAATTTGATTAATTCTTAGAATAAAAAAATTAAGCTTTTGGCCAGGCTTGGTGGCTCAGCCTGTAATCTCAGTGCTTTGGGAGGCCCAGGTGAGTGGATTGCCTGAGCCCATGGGTTTGAGACCCACCCGGGCAACTTGGCCAGACCTCATCTATACAATAAATCAAAAATTAGCTGGGCGTGGTAGTGCATGCCTGTAGTTCCAGCTACTTGGAAGGCTGAGGCGGAAGGATCATTGGAGCCCAGCAGGTCGAGGCTGCAGTGGCCGGGAGTGTGCCACTGCACTCCAGTCTGGGTGACGGAGTGAGACTCCAACTCAAAAAAAAAAAATTAAGCTTTTAAATGCAAGCCTTTGTTTCAAGATTATGTCTTTTTTAAAAGGTAAACTTTGAGGATAATTCTCGTGGAAAATACCTTGAACTCCTGGGATACAGAAAAGAAGATCTAGGAAAGAAGGTAAATAACTATTTACACAAGTAAAATATTTGTGTCATATTAAAAAAAAAAGTTCTACACAGATTAATTCAGATCAACCAGTAAATACTTAATAAGAGTTTGTGTTTGGTTGCTAGAGTTTTGAATTCATGTTGTTAACTATGAGACTCCTCCTTCTACTTGGATTTAGATGCTGTCAGAATCACCTTCAATTCAAGTTTGATTGCCAGTAATAATTAGGCCTTGAGAGATAAGACACTGTGAGCTGCCAACACGTGAGATAACATGGGATTCTGCTAGGGTTGTGAGCAGCAGCCATGGAAAAGTGATAGGAAAACTATTAAAGTTCACCCCATGTTCTTCGCCATCACAATTTTTCACCCTAGCTATGTTTATGCCTTTGGCAGCAATCTCCAAACTGTGTATTGAGTTGATCCAGCTAACAAGTAACTAGTAAATATTTCACAACAGTACTGAACCTGAATGAACAAAAAAGTCAAGTGATTTGCTTAATAGTTTGACTTTTTAAAAAGAGTCTATTTTAAAAAAAGGAAATCATACTGCAGTTTGTAGTGTTTGTAGTGTTCTTAAAGAGGGTATTGCAATGTTGACATCAATAGCAATAAGAGTAAAAATACCCTGACTTTGGAAACCTTGAAGGTAATATTTTGGATTCTCTGTCATTTGTATCAGACGTTTGTCACTCTTTGGAAGTGACTGCAGTTTTCTGTAGCATTGCAGGACTGTTGCATATGGTGCAGATTGGCTACTGTGCCCTCTAGGCACACTTTGAAGACTGGTCTCCTTTGATGTTAGACCCAGGATCACACCCAGTCTTGCTGCCTATCAACTCTGGGTTATGTTAACCTTATCATTAGTCTACACTTCTTGATGCTGTAACTTCTGGTTTGCAGAAGATTAATATGAAAGCTTTACTGTATGCCTGATAGCAAAAAATGAGTCAGTAGAATCTGATTGTCAGAATACTTCTAATAGCAGCTCTTTCCATAGTGAGTACCTGAAGGAATATTTTTAAACATGGATTATAGTTATTGTATTTAAAGCAAAGTAGCAGAGAGCGCATGTGTGGAGGCTAGCTTTATGACTCAGCAGCAGAGCAGGTTGACATCTCCACCGTAGCACTCCATGTGAGTGATGCCAGAACTGCTGTGCGTCCATTCTGCACAGTTTTTAATCTTTTTTTTAAACATTACCATCCCTGATAGGGAGCTTTGTGGGTTTTTGCCAGTGAGAGGCAAAAGGAAACATTTGCTGTTTGTCCTGAAATAGAATTCCATTTATTAGGTGAGTTGTTATTTTTATTTCAGATTGCTTTGACCTTGAACAAAGTGGATGGAGCTGATGTGGTAAGAAGGCTTTACAAATAGCTACCCTCTAAAATCTTGGCAAGGTCATAACAATGAAGGAAAAAGAATTTGTCAAATAGTAACTTCTAGATATTTTAATATAACTATAAATTACTAACTGTAATTACCATCTTAATTAAGTATAAGCTTAGCTGGTGCAGCATTCTTTTCTTTGGGCATACACATTTGAATTTTGTAAAAGGGGAAAACTGAATCAGTGACTTCTCAGGTACTTATTGGTGAAGGTCTTTTTTGCTTTACCATAAGGGGGAACATTTGGTAGGAAAGTGAGGGAAGGTGTTACCAATCATTGTTCTTTGCTTTTCCTCTAATGGTGTTTCTCAAATAAATTTGCTCAGTATTGCTTCCTATGATTAAACTAGCTCTGAATGTTGTTGGTTGGGTCTTTTGTCTTCCCTGATCACTAATACCCTTTAATGCTGTCTTCTTCATCTTCCTCTGTCATTATTTTGTGTTCCAAAGGCTCTTAGAGACTCTGACCAAGGGGCACAGAGTGATGGGGAGGAGAGCCCTGCTGCTGAAGAGCAGCTCTTGGGAGAGGTACTGACTTTTTTTAATATTATATTGAACAGATTTGTGAATTTGTGTATTTTACATTAAGGAAAATTTTCTTGACTGTTGCAAAATAAAGTTGGAATAAATTATTTTCTTAGAGATATGTAGGGTAGGAGCCTATTGACCTATGCTGGCGAAAGTGTCATCTCTGAGCTCCCATTCTCCGCCTTAACCTCTGGATTATATGGTTTAAAATTAACAGTTGCCGTGACTTAATTTCATCAGATGGCTCTCTGGATGTCAAACTAAGAAGAGATTTTATTCAGAAATCTACATTGTATTGCATGTAAAAGTAATATTTTTTTCTTGGCACATTAATAATTTGGGCACATTGGCCAGGTGCAGTGCCTCAAACCTGTAATCCCAGCACTTTGGGAGGCCGAGGCGAGAGGATTGCCTAAGATCAGGGATTTGAGACTGGCCTGGGACAACTTGGTGAGACCTTGTCTCTACAGTAGATTAAAAATAAAATGTTAGCTGGGCATGGTGGTGCATGTCTGTAGTTCCAGCTACTTGGAAGACAGGCGGAAGGATTGCGTGATTCCAGCAGGTCAGGGCTGTGGTAGCCGTGAGCATGCCACGGTACACCAGCCTGGGCGACAGAGACTCCGACTCAAAAAAAAAAGATAATTTGGGCACATTAATATCAGTGGCATAAACGTCTGAATTAGTCCTGAACTTGAAGTTCAAGTAAAGAATATTTCACTAAACTGAACTGATTGTCTTGATTTACTATAAATGTGTCCTTGTTGATAATTTTTGTAACTGATTAAAAAGAGTCCTTGAACACAGAGTTGTATCATTTTTTTTTTTCCTTTTAATTTTCTGGGGTTTTCTTAACCACTAGTAAATAATTCTGTAAATTTACTTTTGTTGCTTTTAAATTTTATTTCATCTTGGAAAATTAATTCATAAGTTCTTGGTTCTCGTCTTATCTTTGACTTTTCATTATTCTCTGTAATATGGGGATGTCTTGACTATGGAATGTTTTCTATAATTTTTTTTACTAAGTTGTAAAAATAATTTATCAGTAAACTTAGAATATTACAAAACCTCTTATAAAATCATTTTCCTTAGAACTGGATGTTCTAGAGTTTAATTTAAAGGTAATAGAAGAAGTGGATAAAATCTTATTAAAAATGTGAACTACTTTTGGGAATATTTGGATAGAATTGTTGGGTACATAAAGAAATGTACTTTTATCAGGGGTGGTGGCTCACACCTGTAATTTCAGCACTTTGGGAGGTTGAGGCAAGAGGATTGCTTGAACTCAGGAGTTTGAGACCAGCCTGGGCAACTTGGCGAGACCTCGTTTCTACAATAAATAAAAATATTAGCTGGGTGTGGTGGCGCACACCTGTTGTTCCAGCTACTTGGAAGGCTGAGGCAGAAGGATTGCCTGAGCCCAGCAGGTCGAGGCTGTGGTGGCCATGAGCATGCCACTGCACGCCAGCCTGAGTTATAGAGTGAGACTCCAACTCAAGAAATAAAATAAAATAAAAATAAAAGCTTGATAATATTTGTCTATAAAACACTGTAGCTTATACTTTGACAGGTACTCAGTGCATAATAATTGCGTGTTTTTTGGCCTTATGTCTATTTCAGAAGTCCATAAATAACCTAAAGTATTCCTTTTGCAAGTTTATTAGTAAGTCAGATTAATATCTGTGATTTATTCCTTAATGTAAATAACTTAAATTCTCAATTATTTTTTAGTTTTTAAATTCTAAAATGTTTCTCTCTCTCTCTCTCTCTCTCTCTCTCTGTCTCTTTTTTGAGTTGGAGTCTTACTCTGTCACCCAGACTGGAGTGCAGTGGCCACTCCCAGCCACTGCAGCCTTGACCTGCTGTGCTCCAGCGATCCTTCCGCCTCAGCCTTCCAAGTAGCTGGAACTACAGGCATGCGCTACCATGCCTGGTTAATTTTTGATTTATTGTAGAGATGAGGTCTTGTCAAGTTGTCCAGGCGGGTCTCGAACCCACAGGCTCAGGCAATCCACTCACCTCAGCCTCCCAAAGCACGGGATTACAAGCTGAGCCACGGAGCCCGGCTTTTTTTTTTTTTAATTTGAGTTAGATTCTCACTTTGTTGCCCAGACTGGAGGGCAGTGGCGCACTCACGGCTACTGCAGCCTTGACCTGCTAGGCTCAGGCCAACCTTCTGTCCCAGCCTCCCAAGTAGCTGGACTACAGGCACTCACCACCACACAGGGCTAATTTTTTTTTTTATTGTAGAGACAATGTCTCACCAAGTTTCCCAGGCTGATCTAAAATCCCTGAGTTAAGGCAATCCTCTTGTCTTGGCCTGCCAAAGTGCTGGGATTTCAGGCGTGACACATCTGGTTTAAAATGCTTCTCTTTAGTTGGGAAAAAAGGAATAAGGGTTATAGATACTCTTGTGTAATAGTCAATGTTAATTAAGCTTCATTTACAGGCAATGCAGTGCTGTACTTTGCACTAAAATCACCCAATTCAAAAAAATGCCTTGAATCGGGGTTTAGATATATAGGTAACATAAGCACAGAGGATAGATTACTTTATCTCTGTTTTCCTTTAAATATTTCTTTTCTTTATTTTATTTATTTATTTATTTTGGCAGAGTCTCACTGTCACCCAGGCTGGAGTACAGTGGCACAATCACAGTTCACTGTAACCTCAACCTTTTGGACTCAGGTGATCCTTCCACATCAGCCTTCCAAGTAACTGGAACCACAGACATGCGCCACCATGCATGGCTAATTTTTTACTTTATTGTGGATATGAGGTTTTGCCAAGTTTCTCAGGCTGGTCTCGAACCCCTGGACTCAGACAATCCTCTCGCTTCCACCTCCACCTCCACCTCCCGCAGTGCTGGGATTATAGTGGGAGCCACTGCTTCTGGTGACCTCCTTTTCTTCTAATGAAAGAAAATATTGGCTAGGTGTAGTGGCTCATGTCTGTAATCCTAACAGTTTGGGAGGCTGAGGCACCAGGGTCACTTGAGCCTAGGAGTTTGAGACCATTCTGGGAAACATAGCAAGACCTTCTCTCTAAAAAAAAAGAAGGAAAATATTGAATTTATTTTTAATCCGTTTTGGCAAGTAGTCCCAGAAATTTTTAACAGAACTGTATACATTTTTATCAGACTGACCTGCTTTTCTAGGTTTGACTAATTTGAGAGAACATTAAATGTAAAAATGAATTTAGTATATTCATAAACAATCTATATTGCATTTATACTGTGAGCACCAAGTGATTTCTTTTGTTTTTTGTATGATTCAATTAAAACAAAGAGAACTTTAATCAAACCTAGTAGACCAGGAATTAGTAGATGTGTAGAAATAGGTTTGTTTTAAAATTTAGATATGGGCCGGGCACAATGGCTGAAGACTATAATTGCAGCACTTTGGGAGGCCGAGGTGAGGGGATTGCCTGAGCCCTTGGGTTCGAGACCAGCCTGGGCAACTTGGCGAGACCTCATCTCTACAATAAGTCAAAAAATTTGCCAGGTATGGCAGCATACACGTGTAGTTCCAGCTACTTGGAAGACTGAGGCAGAAGGATCCCCTGAGCCCAGTAGGTCGATGCTGGGGTAGTAGTGAGCATGCCACTGCACTCCAGCCTGGGCAATGGAGTGACACTCTGACTCAAAAAAATAAATAAATAAAATTTAAATATGGTATAATTTTTAAAATTTTATTTTGCATATTTTAAGCCACTCATAGTTGAAGTATCTAGGAAAACAAAGATTCTTTAGCTTTGATAATAGCTTCTGAGGTATTGATAATGAATATGTACACTTTAGTTTGTTTAACAATATTCTTGATGACCTTGAACTTTATTTATGATTGCATGATGGGAGTTAATACTTATAGAAGTCATAGATCTTAGCGTAAACTTGGATCTGAGAACTTTCCTGAAATAGTTTGGCATGCCATCTAATCAATAGGTGAATGATCATATATAAATTTGTTTGTCAGTAAATTATTCCACAGTTTCATCTTTGCTAAATTGCTGCTTTTTAAAAATCTTTTCAGCACATTAAAGAGGAAAAACAAGAATCTGAATTTCTACCCCCAGCTGCAGGAACATTTAATATCTCCATCAGTGGAGGTAAGTACTTACTGGTTTTGATTTCGATTTTTTCAAAACCCATTTGGAAACAAATAGTTTCTGAGTTTAAGCTAGAAATGGTTAAGCCAAATGTGGTCATATGACCCTGTATTCCAGCTGCTTGTAGGTTGAGGCAGGAGGATCACTTGAGCCCAGGAGTTTGAAGCTAGTGAGACCCTGTCTCAAAAAAAAAAAAAGTAGAAGAAGAATGTTTTGTCACAGGTGGTAGAAGTTGAGAAAGAACTCAGTTTTCATTTAGTACAGTATATATGTTCAGGCTCCTAAGTGATCTTTTATAATCCAGTAAAACACTCTGGAAAAGGTGTTTCTATATATGTATCTCAGTGTATTTCCATAGATCTCGTTCATAAATGTCAACAGCTTGTGTTAGAGATTAATCCACTAGTAAGCAGAAATTAATATTGTGTTTTCCATTTGTGTGTGTGTGTATACAAATTGATTTGTGTTGTACTTTGTTGTTTTTGGTAACAAAAACCTATATTTTACTTGGATGTATTATTTCCTTGTTGCAGACATTGATGGTTTAATCACTCAGGCTTTGCTGACGGGTAATTTTGAGAGTGCTGTTGACCTTTGTTTACACGATAATCGCATGGCTGATGCCATTATATTGGCCATAGCAGGTGGACAAGAACTCTTGGCACAAACTCAGAAAAAATACTTTGCAAAATCCCAAAGCAAAATTACCAGGGTATGTTGTTTTAAAATTATCTTTCTCGCGTTTATTGTAAAAGAAATATATCTTATTGTAGATCATCGAAATGCAGAAAATGATAAAAGAATTTTAAAAACCCATCTGTAATTCCTTGATTCAGAAATAGTTGTTGGGAGTTTGGTGTGATTATTCCAGGTTTTGTTGCTTCCACTTATGAAAGAATTAAAAATATTTGCATATTATTTTAGAAAGTTTTAACATAAAATTCTAAAGGCACAAATTTTAGGGGTGGGGAGCACACTTCATCAATAAGGGTACCTGATCTCAAACCAGGTGAAGTGGGGACCAAAGTGAGGCCCAAATTTTACCTGTACAATGACCGTTTCTATACCTAACCCTGAATTGTACACATTGTAAAAATTTTTTTAACATCTCGTAATTCTGTCAGTAGATTGATGCATATCTTTTTATCCTTCTTTGTGTGCATTTGTAGAAGTTTTTTTTAAATAGACTCAGGATCCTATATGTATATATATGTGTATGGTTTTATTTTTAGATAGTATCACTTAACATTGTAAGCATTTTCCCACATCGTTTTCTTATAAACATTTTAATTGCTATATAACATTTTGTAGTAAGAAGATGTATTGGTTCCCTTCTTTGGGGATGTTTAGATAGTTTTCAATATATTGTTCTGTTATAGGGAAACACCCTTGTTTAACAGTGATAAACACCTTCAGTGAGCCTACAGATTTGTGCAAATGTCTGATTATTTGATTGGGCTCTTGTTCTGCCAGAGGAATTTCTGGCACAGAGGGTCTAAACATTTTTAAACCTCCTGCTTGGTGTCCTTTCCACAACCTAAAGTAATTTTATGGAAATCATTTTTCCTAACAGTGGTGCCAGTGTTGAGTCTCCCAGCACTGCCTGTCTCCCTGTTTCTGGTGGCCACACAGGCTACCTTTCCATTCCTCTCTTACTCCACGTCTCTTCATCCCTGGGCCTCAGTACCTAGTGTTCCCTTGGCCCAGAATTCTCTTGATTAAGTTAACTCCTGCTTGTCCTTTGGATCCCATGTCAAAAGTCTACATATTCAGGCAGTGTTTCCTGATCTGTTCAACCAGGTCATGTCTTCCTGTTAAGTGGTCTTTATTTTATTTTAGATTCAGGGGGTACATATGTGGGTTTGCTACACAGACATATTGTGTGTTGGTGGGGATTGGGTCTCACGTGGCCCATGACCCGGATAGGGAATGTCGTGCCCCATATAAATGCTCTGACAGTACCCTATACCTTCCTTCTCAGCACTTTATGAAGTATGTTGGTGATTCTTTTATCTTTTTTTGGAAAAATAGTTCCATTTATTATGTCATTTGATTCAAGAATAGACTTCATTTTGCTGCTGCTATATATGGCATGAAATACCATGAATTGTAGTTTGGAAAGATATGATTGATTAGGCAGAATTAATTTTTATTAATATTCTAAAGACTTGTAATTCTCCCTTTGCTTCCCTTTCCCAAGCTCATCACTGCAGTGGTGATGAAGAACTGGAAAGAGATTGTTGAGTCTTGTGATCTTAAAAATTGGAGAGAGGCTTTAGCTGCAGTATTGACTTATGCTAAACCAGATGAATTTTCAGCCCTTTGTGGTAAGAAATGAGCTTTATATTTAACTTCATTACCTATATGGCATAGTATATTGTAAATAAAATTAATGACAAATTTTATTGGAAATTTGTATAAACTTAGTGATCACAAAATAGTTCTCATATGAGTGCTTTTCTCAGAATTATTAAGTACCCTACTTCTCCACATCTACTTATTATTTTTTAAAATACTGTTTAGTGATTTTGGTTTCAGACAGACTGGAGTTGGAATCTTGCCTCTGCCACTTAACTAGCTATATGACCTAGGAAAAATTTCTTCCTAAGCCTCAGTTTATTCATCTATAAAATGGCACATAAGTACCTCTCATTTAACAAATATTAGCTTTGATAAAATTAATAATTACAATATTTAAGCAGAAATAACCATTATAGGCCATGACTAAGTTGGTGGTTACTGAAGTATAAGAACAAACTATTTGCTGCCTTGAATGTATTAGGGTTTTCTGTTCAAATGCTATTCCCCCATGTATTGTTCTTTCTAATATAATTCTGAATATCAGTTCTACAGCTACATCCAGTCTTTTCTTTCCTTTTTTTTTTTTGAGTTGGAGTCTCACTCTGTCACCCAGGCTGGAAGGCAGTGGCACGTTCCCGGACACCGCAGCCTCCACCTGCTGGGCTTAGTCGATCCTTCTGCCTCAGCCTTCCAAGTAGCTGGAACTACAGACACACGTCATCATACCTGGCTAATTTTTGATTTATTGTAGAGGTGAGGTCTCGCCAAGTTGCCCAGGCTGGTCTCAAACCCATGGGCTCAGGCAGTCCTCTTGCCTCAGCCTCCCAAAGTGCTGGGATTATAGGCATGAGCCATTGCGCCCAGCCTATATCCAGTTTTGAGCAATCATGTATTATATCTGCTTTGTTACCCACTTCCATTCACTTGGCAAGTAGATCTTTACTAAGCATATGGACTAGCCTGATTTCTCCCTGCTACTTGGTACTTGCAAAGCTCAGTCCACACCTCTGAAATACTGCTGAGCTGCTCATGACTTCACCCACAGGTGGCCTTACATGAAGTCTTCCTTTGTTTTCCTCTTTCTAGATCTTTTGGGAACCCGACTTGAAAGTGAAGGAGATAGCCTGCTGCAGACCCAGGCGTGTCTCTGCTACATCTGTGCAGGAAATGTAGAGAAGCTGGTTGCGTGTTGGACTAAAGCTCAGGATGGCAGCCACCCTTTGTCCCTGCAGGTTAGTGTTTGTCCACAAAGAAGGTATTTACTAGTTGGGCTCAGTGGCTCAGCCTGTAACCCTGCGCCTTTGGGAGGCTGAGGTGAGTGGATTGCCTGAGCCCGCGGGTTCGAGACCCGCCTGGGCAACTTGGCGAGACCTCATCTCTACGATAAATAAAAAAATTAGCCAGGCGTGGTAGCACGCGCCTGTAATTTCAGCTATTTGGAAGGCTGAGGCGGAAGGATCACTGGAGCCCAGCAGGTTGAGGCTGCGGTGGCTGGGAGCGGCCACTGCACTCCAGTCTGGGCAACAAAGTGAGACTCCAACTCAAAAAAAAAAAAAGAAGGTATTTACTTTTTAGTGTTATCATCTATCATCCTCCTTATGATCAAGTTATGTTCCCGAAATTAATTTGTTCTATAAGTTCCTCACTTTTACCTAGCTTGTTCATGTTTTAGAAGCTCTTTTGCTGGATAATTATATGCGTTTATTGCTATTTGGAGAAACAGAGTTTCAGATGTTGGGATAGTAAAATGGGGTTGCAGTGGTTTTTAAGAGCAAGTCTGTGGTTTGGCAGTTGATTGGGGGAGATGAGTGGCAAGAGCCTAGGAGACAGCTGTAGGGTCGACTTCTACCTCATGCTTCGCTCTCACCTCCAGCGGCCCTGTCTTCCTTGAGCAAAAAAAGAAGCAGTGTGGGTAAAGGAATTGGGGCATCCCCAGTGTTAGTAGACAGTCTTTAGGGTTGAGGAAAAATGAAAGTGGGAGGTGAATGGAATCTTTGGTAGCATTAGTATACAAGTAGAAGTGGCAGTGAAAGAGGTGGGACTGTGCTCAGGCAATGAGGAGCTAGAGATTGAGAGTTTGTCCTTCGCATTCCAGCAACAGAGTCTTAGGGTAATTTTCATATTTCTCTTTCTCTCTGTAAGGAGATTTTCTCAGTAAGGTCATTGTCATAAAGATCACTGTTGAAACTAAAAACTAGGTAGGAAATCAAGGTTTTCCTTCTAAGTGCTCCTGAGAGTAAAACACTAGTTGCACACTTCTGGATTTGTGCACTTACGAAAGGCAGCTAGGCGGGGTATTCTTATGCTTTGTACTGAAACATAGCTCCCTATTGTTGAAAGAATTGCTGTTGAAGAGCACCATGAGAAACACTGAGTTAAAATAGGAGCTCATTTGGAGATCACATGCCTTTGTCCAGTAGGATTATTTATATGGGGAGATGGTGTGATAGTTCACTCATAATTCCTCTCATACCTGTTGGAACACAGTTCCTGCCACCTTCACTTTGTATTTGCCTATTTTAGCTCACTAGACAAGTCTCTGGTAGATTAAAGATGTTTAGGAGAAGGTGGTGACCCATGTCCCATCCATGAGTAAGGGGCTTTCCCCCTCCTCATTCCTTCTCCAGTTCCCTAAGTGGTAGCCATGCTTTTCTAAGAGGGATAGAAATTAGGTATTATGCTTTTAGTGGACTCTGTAAACCTTAGCAACTCTTTATCGTTTCTTGCTTCCTCTTATGTACATGGTCTTGATATTTCTGCTTGTTTTTCTCTTACTCTTTGTTTTTTGTTTTATTTAGGATCTGATTGAGAAAGTTGTCATCCTGAGGAAAGCTGTGCAACTTACCCAAGCTATGGATGCCAATACCGTGGGGGTTCTTTTGGCTGAGAAGATGAGTCAGTATGCCAATTTGTTGGCAGCTCAGGGCAGTATTGCTGCAGCGTTGGCTTTTCTTCCTGACAACACCAACCAGGTAACTAGAATTTACTTTTTTTTTGGTAATGTTTTAGTAAGGTGAGTCTAGTAGATACCATGGTATTAGGCATAAACATACTAGTGAGTGGAATGTTTAGAGCAGTTAATTCCTATCACCTGACTGTATATAAATGTTATTGACAATACTTGAGCATATTTTCAGTGTCCCCAAGCTGTGTCAAAGAGATGGGATGCTCTTGTAGTGTGATAGAAGCCCTTGTATTGAGGGACATAAGACTTTAGGAAAGTGAGTGGAATGGACCAGCTTTTTATTTCTAAAGCCAAATGCTGATTCTTCTTAGAAGGTTCTTTGTGGGAATCTTATATATTGAAAAGCTATAAATGTTAATGCTTAGTCAAATGAATGGAATTATTAACATTTTTAAATTTCTTTTTTTTTTTTGAGTTGGAGTCTCACTGTGTCGCCCAGACTGGAGTGCAGTGGCCGCTCTTGGCCACCACAGCCTCTACCTACTGGGCTCCGGCAATCCTCCCGCCTCAGCCTTCCAAGTAGCTGGAACTACAGGCGCGCACTACCACGCCCGGCTAATTTTTGATTTATTGTAGAGATGAGGTCTCGCCAAGTTGCTCAGGCGGGTCTTGAACCCGCGGGCTCAGGCAATCCACTCACCTCAGCCTCCCAAGATGCGGGATTACAGGCTGAGCCACCGAGCCCGGCACATTTTTAAATTTCTACACATGCCACCCCAGATATTGTTGAAGAAGTTAATTCTATATGCCATATAGTCTGGTACCGTCTGTGGGCAAGTAAATTTTTTAAGTTTTCAGGGCAGCAGGAACTACATGCATTCTTAATTGTTGTCCTTATTTGGTGTATAATAAAACACGGGCCTTTTTGTTTTGTTTTGTTTTGTTTTGTTTTGTTTTGTTTTGTTTTGAGTTGGAGTCTCACTCTGTCGCCCAGACTGGAGTGCAGTGGCCACTCCCGGCCACCGCAGCCTCGACCTGCTGGGCTCCGGCGATCTTTCCGCCTCAGCCTTCCAAGTAGCCAGAATTGCAGGCATGCGCTACCACGCCCGGCTGATTTTTTGATTTATTGTAGAGATGAGGTCTCGCTTCCCAGGCGGGTCTCGAACCCGCGGGCTCAGGCAATCCACTCACCTCAGCCTCCCAAAGGCGCGGGATTACAGGCTGAGCCACCCAGCCCGGCTAAACATGGGCCTCTTAATGATACTTGCTGCAACTCAATTCAACAAGTGATTGTGTAGAGTGAGAAACACGGTTGCCAAAATCCTTCCCTTGGAAGCTTCCAAACTCCAGAAGGCTTTGGACATTGAAACATGGAATGCCAAAAGTGTGTTGGAAGTGCTGTGATCAAGGTTGTGGAGTTATGGGAACACAAGAGTGGACATAGGGGTGGGACTTGAGGAAACTTACAATACTAGAGTATTTTTATCTGTACTTTGTGTCTGCTAGAGCTTGATTGAGTCTTACGGATACTTTCTTATCTCTACACTTTTTAATATTAACTTTGTTCTGTTTTTGATGGTTTTATAAAATTAATTGTTTTCAGTATTTTGTCTGTTTTAGAAAATTGTTAATAAATTTCATTGAGTAAAAATACAAAGTATGTTCCAGGAATATGGAGTTATGATTCTCTAGTTGGTTTTGTATACACTTAGTGTAGGATCCAGAGCATGTCTTTCTAAATTGTTAATGAGATTATTAGGTAGATACATAGTCTTTTTTTGTGGTGACTTCTACATAACAGTTTACTAAGACTTTGTGCTTAATAAGGTCTCATTGTTATATTGAGATATGGTATAAGAGCCTTTATCTTAAGACTGATTTTTCTATGACCTTGAGATTATCTAGCTCTAGGATTAAATCATTTTCAGCACCATTTATAATCAATTCATTTCCTATACATTATTCTTCCTGCTTTTCTTTGGAATTTAAAGAACGTTCTTTATGCAAAAAAACTTAATTTTGAAGTTACATCTTATTTCTCTCTGTAGACCCTGCATTTTGGGGGGAATATGTCCTGAGACTTTGCGATAGCATTGTATATATAAATCTCCCCCATAAAAGGCAAATCAAGTACACCTTAAACGTCTAAATGACCCTTTGAACCTTTCACTGATTTGTAGGAATGTGCAACTTTTAGAGATACTAAAATGTTGCTGAAACATTTTAGCACATAGTTTTTTGTTGTTATTAGATCTGTATGAGCTACAATCTGAATTTGACATCTCACTCTTAATTTATTTATTTCAGAAATCCTTTTTTTTTTTTTTTTTGGTGTCAGAGTCTCACTCTGTTACTCAGGCTGGAGCACAGTGGCATGATCACGGCTTACCACATCTTCTACCTCCTAGGCTCAGCCTCCAAGTAACTGGAACTGCAGGCGCATGCCACTGGCTCATTTTTTAATTTTTTTGTAGAGATAAGGTCTTGCTGTGTTTCCCAGGCTGGTCTCAAACTCCTGGGCTCAAACAATCTTCCTGCTTTGGCCTCCCAAAGTACTGGTAGGTAATACAGACATGAGGGACCACACCCAGCCTCAAAAAATCTCTTTTTAAAAATTTTCAGTCGGGCTTGGTCGCTCAGGCTGTAATCCCAGCACTTTGGGAAGCCGAGGCAAGAGGATTGCCTAAGACCAGGAATTCAGGACCAGCCTAGGCAACTTTGTGAGACCTCGTCTCTACAGCAAATTAAAAAAAAATAAACTGGGCATAGTAGCTTGATCCTATAGTTCCAGCTCCTTGGAAGGCTAAGGAGAAAGGATCACCTAAGTCCAGCAGGTGGAGGCTGCGGTGACTGTAAGCCTGTCCCTGTACTCCAGCCTGCGTGATAGTGAGACTCCAAGTCAAAAAAAAATGTATTTCTTTCTCAGATTACCATTTTTTAGTCACCATTGTTAAGCATGCCTTGGTGATTGTTTTTCATTGTGTGTGGTGTGTGTGTGTGTTTTGAATCAGAGTCCCACTCTGTCACTTAGACTGGAGTGCAGTAGCATGATCATGGCTACCACAGCCTCAACCTGATAGGCCCAGGCAGTCCTTCCGCCTCAGCCTTCCAGGCAGCTGTAACTACAGGCACATACCACCATGCCTGGTTTTTTTTTTTTTTTTTTTTTAATTGTGGGAATGAGGTCTTGCCATATTGCTCAGACTGGTCTAAACTCCTGGACTCAGGCAGTCCTCTTGCCTTAGCCACCCAAAGTGCTGGGATTACAAGCATGAGCCACTGTGCCCAGCCTATTTGTATTTTTTAAAATAGTTCTTTGATTTCTGAGCATTATATAACTATAAGAAAACATCAGAAGAGCAGTGGAAATAAGTGCCATTGGCCATAATAACCATGAGGTGGGGATAATTGAGATCCCTGCTTCAGTTCCATGACAGTTGGCACTGTATGTCATGGGCCGTTGGTGCCAGTCTTGAGTATTAGAGGCCATGATATCAAATCCTCACATACCAGAGTCTGTTGTGTAACACACAGCATTGTGAACAAAAAAGGGTCTCTCGAATGATCAGCTTACTTTAGGAAAATCAACATTCTTTCCTTTAGTTGGATGTGCTCTAATAATTTGCTTTGTTTTTTTCCATTGCTTCTTTTAGCCAAATATTGTGCAGCTTCGTGAGAGACTTTGTAGAGCACAAGGAGAGCCCATGCCAGGACACGAATCACCTAAAACTCCTTATGAGAAGCAGCAGCTGCCCAAAGGCAGGCCTGGACCAGTTGCTGGCCATCCCCAGATGCCAAGAGTTCATACTCAACAGTACTACCCCCAGGTGAGTGATGTGTCCAGGTGAAGTTAGGAACATTTCTGTATTTCTACTCAAATTAGTGGTTTTAGTTGACTGAGCAAGATACCCTCTCTGATATGTAAAACCAGACAGTATATTGTTTAATAGTTATACTTGCTAGATTCTTGAAGTGTATTTGAGATCTACTTTTTGAAATCTTTCCTTTCATCTGGTCAAACTTTATATTTTAGATACAAATTAGTTTTAAGCTCTTCAGGGAGACTTGTGTGTTTCTCTGCCACTCAAACTTACACATGTCCATCTGTTCTTGAAACTTCTATTTGATTCATCTAACAAGTTGTAAGTAAAGTATTAGGAAGCTGGGTATGGTGGCTCCCAGTGCTTTAGGAGACCAAGGCTGGAGGATGCCAGAAATTCAAACCCAGTTTTGAGATCCTAACATACAAGACCCTATGTCTACAAAAAATTTAAAAATGAATAAAAGTAGCAGGAACAATCATGTTGGTTACTTGGTTAATTTTAGAAAATAGTTTTGGAAAATGATCTCTTCAGTATTCTTTTCTGAATCATTAGTATAAGTTTATTGTGTCTTCTGTATCTGTATGATAAAGAGTATCCAGAATATATAGTTTTTTTTTTCTTGACAACTTGTCTATTAGAGAAAAGTAAATGACTGAAGGTCTATGAAGTTGTAGATCATGTGGAATGTGAAAAGGATTAGTAATTTTTATTTATTTAAATTTAAATATTTGGTGTCATAAAATGTGACCTCTTATTATCTTTGACTATTTCATGTAGAAACTTTAACATTTCCGGACCAGCAGATAACTTTCATGTCCTTAAATGAAAGATTTTTTTTCACAAATAATACATGATCTTAGTAGACAGCAAAGTTAACAGGTACCCTACCTATTTTATTTTTTATATTTTGAGTTGTGGTCTCACTCTGTCACCCAGGCTGGAGTGCAGTGGTACAGTCACAGCTCACCACAGCCTTAAACTCCTGGGCTCACGCAATCCTCCTGCCTCAGCCTTCTGAGTAGCTGAGACTACAGGTATGCACCACCATGTCCAGCTAATTTTAAAGTATTTTTTTGTAGAGATGGTGGTGTCTCGCTTTGTTGTCCAGGCTGGTCTCAAACTTTTGACCTCAAGCAATCCTCCCGCCTCAGCCTCTCAAAGTGTTGAGATTACAGCGTGAGCCACCATGTCCAGCTTTCTATTTTAAAACAGAATAAATTGCTTATAGGATTGACAGGGTCTTTACATTTTGCTATAGCAAAAGTAAATATAAAAATCTTGAAAAAAAAAAAAAAAAGAATTATTGCTCCTTTTTCTGTTATACTTTTGGTAAACAGACTGGTACTTAGTTCGGATAGATTGTGTCTGAATATAACTGTTAACTATCTAGAATACTCTGTATTTAGATTTTTTTCATTCATTTGACAAATTTTTATTGAGTTATTGGAGTGCCTGGCATTGTTCTAGCTGTTAGGAGGGTCTGCTTGTGAACAAAATAGACTAAGTTCCCTCACGTCATGGAGATAGCATTAGACTTAGAAGGACTATGAAAGAGGTGGGACACATCAGATGATGGCTTGGAAAACTGAGAAGCAGAGATGTCAGGCGACCCACTGGTATTCAAGACACAGAGGTGGAATTTCTCAGCATCATATGATTGGTTAACAGCCAAGTTGGGATTAGAATTTCCAGGCACCTTGTATTAGACCAGGCAGTCTTTCAGGGTACAGAAACAAGGCAGGCTCCACATTGGGAGAAGAGAGTGCTTGTCCTTGGACTATCTGCCTTTCTAGGAAAAGGTAAAAACACCGAGACGTTTTTGTTGTACTTTGATTTACTAGTCTTACACTCTACAGAAGATAAACAAATTGAATCATAAATCTAACAGTTGTTTCTTGATTAAAGCTTATGATATGCTAAAGGCAGGAGGGGGTAGTGTTAGTAAGTGGAGTAAGGGTCTGGATGGCAGGACGAATTGGAGGGAGTGCCACTCCCACTTCGATTAACTCAGCCTTGCTTTTACAGTTGACCTTGAACCACGCAGGGTTTGGAGGTGCTGACCCATGTGCACTGATGAACATCTGCATACAAATCTTGATTCCCTAAAATCATAACTCCTAATCACCCGTTGTTGTTTGAGCCTTGTCAATAACATGAACAGTCTGTTGATGTGTGTTATGTATGCTATATACTTTATTACAGTAAAGTAAGCTAGAAAAAAGAGAATATTGCTAAGAAAGTCAAGAAAATAGGCTGGGCATGGTGGCTCACACCTGTAATTCTGGCACTTTGGGAGACGGAAGCGAGAGGATTGCCTGAGCCCACGTTCAAGACCAACCTGGGCAACATAGTGAGACTTCATTTCTACAATAAATAAAAAAAATTAGCTGGGTGTGGTGGCATGTGCCTGTAGTTCCAGCTACTTGGAAGGCTGGAGTGGAAAGATTGCCTGAGCCCAGCAGGTTGAAGCTGCGGTAGCCGTGATCATGCCACAGCACTCTAGCCTGGGAGACAGAGTGAAACTCTGACTCAAAAAAAAGAGAAAGAAAATCAATAAAATAGGAGACCATGTATCTGCTATTCATGAAGTGGGCATGGGTTGTCACAACAGTCTTCGCCCTTCTGTCTTCATGTTTAGTAGATTGAGGAGGAAGGCGGGGGCTGGTCTTGCTGTATCGTGTGACAGAAGTGAAGGAGGTAGAAGTGGTGGGAGAGGCAGGAAAGCCTGGAACACCCTGCCTGTAGTGGGCCTGAGCAGCTCAAGCCTGTGTTGTTCAAAGGTCAACTGAATTCACTTTTAAAATATATTTCAGAGTGTCTGCAGAGATTTTCTTGACAAAAAGGATTTGATGGCTTGAAAAAAAATCGAAACCACTGGCCTTCAGGGTCAGCAGCTGGCCTGGAAATCCAGAGACTTGGCATCCCCACTGAGTCACATGGCCTCACCAGGACCCCTTGTTTCTCAAGACCTTGCTTTGCTTTACCCAGTGAAAATGGGTGGGGTTAGACTGAATGATCTGTAATATTTGGCTTCAGTGTTCTCTGTGTGATTTTTAAGCTTCATCTGAGACTAATATGATTTTTGTGGCTACAATGAAATCAAAAAAGGGGACCTTATAGTGATACTGTTAGTGCTTCCAAAAAATCACATTTTTGCTCAATTACTTTTTTGGGGGGGAGTGTCTTCTTTCTGTCCCTACCTACAAAGCATCACTTGGCCACCTTCTCTGAAGCTTGAATGGTTATTCTTATGCTTTGGCTTAGGCTTTCATGTTGATGCTTCTCCAGCCTGCTTCTGGTTTTTTGTGACTGCATTGTCTTTTAGAGTCCTGTCTACCTGTTTGCAGCTGCTTGTATAGTGTATGTTATCTTGCTGCTCTTCCTTTTTGCTTTGCATCTGGCAGTTAGTACCTTTTGGGTTATTTTTTCTTTTTTTAACGTTTTCATTTTTATTTTCTGTGATTGGTATTTCTTTGTTCAATTCAGGTTAGAATTGCCCCTACTGTCACTACCTGGAGTAACAAAACTCCCACTGCCCTTCCCAGCCATCCACCTGCAGCCTGTCCCTCTGACACACAGGTATATCCTTCATTATTCCTCTTTGGGCGGGATTCCGCTCACTTGTATATGTAGTTCAGTATTCTCTGCCCACTCCCTTAAGCCCCCGCCCCTGCACCATCTGCCTGCCTGCTCGTTGCATTTAATGCTTTTAGGACGCAAGAAGCGTTGTTAGCACAGTTAATTTCCTTATCCTTCTTCTCCTTCCTCTGCAGTTCTAAATTGATTTGAACTAGAAAACATCAACCAAGGTTCTGGCAGTGATCTAAATCTGATTTCACTGAAGATTTTTTTCTTTTTCTCTTTTTTTTTAAAGCATTGCAGAAATTGAAGAGAAACAAAAGTTCCCTTTATGGCATATTTATTCCTAAATTTCCAGAGTGTGGAATAGTGAATGGAAATTAGTAGAGACGGAAAATCCTGGTGCCTTTCATCAATATCACTGACCTGTTTCATGAGGCCGTTAGCATCTTTGGCCATTCATTGCAATGACTACTTCAGATTTGTCTAATCTTTAAATCATTTGGAATGTGTTGCTCAGAAAATGCACTGTTCTGAGGAGATAGGATATGCAAATTGCAGTGTTTCTTGTGCAACTTTTAAAAATAAACATAGAATTCCATTTCAGAGCTCTTAAGCCCACCTGGTAAAGTTCCAGTTCCAATTATAATCCTCTTTTTTACCATGTTGTCGTTTGCTAGGGAGAGAACCCTCCACCTCCGGGCTTCCTACTGCGTGAAAATGTTACTCCCAGCACTGCCGCCCAGCAGCCCACGCCACCAGGCCACATGCACACCCAGGGGCTACCTTATCCACAGCCACAGCGTAAGTGGTGCGGTCCTCATGGCCTTTGATAGCATTAGTTCTTAGCTAATGTAGTAACTGTTTGCTTCGAAGCTCCAAAGTCATGGTCAAATCAATGTTGATAAAGTAAGAACCATTCTGTAAAGGAATCCTGAGTTCCTGCTGTGGAGAACACAGTTTCCCAAAGAGGCATCGTGAGTCCATGTGCTGGGAAGCAGCTCCATTGTCACCATGTTCAGAACAGTGGACCCTGCCCCTAAGCCATTACCATGACCTGTGAAGTATACTATGATTTTGGTATAAAGAAAGAGAATTTTATAAATTATTCTGTACACACTCTTTTCCTTCAGACAGGGTGACACAGACCACTTTTGTTGTTGTTGTTGTTGTTGTTGGTTTTTTTTGAGTTGGAGTCGCACTCTCGCCCAGACTGGAGTGCAGTGCCCGCTCCTGGTCACCGCAGCCTCGACCTGCTGGGCTCCGGCGATCCTTCCGCCTCAGCCTTCCAAATAGCCGGAATTACAGGCGCGCG